TTTTTATTGCATTATTACATAAAAGCTTGTTATTGAAACGTTTTTTATGAATTTTTTTCAGTACTTTACATGTTTTATTTACAATAGAGTTACATGACTAAAAACTATTGCGCGCCTACTGAACTTGATGGCGCAGCTATTGAACGTACCGTGATGGCGCAGATATTGAACGTGATGATGCGTGTGGTGTGGTTGGCTAGACATGCCTACTAATTCGGTCCAAATTTTAATTAATTCATAAAAATTTAATTAGGCATCCAATTAAGTCAAATTTAGATTCAGATTGCATTGTCTTCATGTCTTGATCCACGTGCCAAATGTGAATCGTATAGGTCAAGTAGAACTGTCTGAATTTTTACTCCGGCGTTTCGGTCTAGACAGACTGACGACAGAGGAAGCAAGTTAAATAAAAGCTTGTAAAAACCCACGTTTTTTGATTGAACTAAAAAGTAGAAAATAAATGCTATGCATCACAATAATGCAAGCGATCACTCTACTATAAGCGATGAATAATTATCATTAAAAAAGTTTTAAAAAACCCACGTTTTCTGATTTAACTAAAAGGTAGAAAATAAATGCTATACATCACAATAATGCAAGCGATCACTCTACTATAAGCGATGAAAAAGTGGGGCGCCGAAGTAAAAGTTTTTTATCGGTCATTGTTAATATAAGATTTAAAAGTTATATTACTATTGATTAGATAATACTATTGACTTTTATTAGGGAGCTTGTAGAGAGTCAACAGTATTAGAAACTGTAAGAAAATCACGGCGCCCCACGTTTTTCATCGCTTATAGTAGAGTGATCGCTTGCATTATTGTGATGTATAGCATTTATTTTCTACATTTTAGTTCAATCAGAAAACGTGGGGTTTTTTTTAAATTTTTAATGATAATTATTTTCTACTTTTTAGTCTTTGTCTGTTTGTTTGCATTAAAATCTTGCTATCGATTTTATCTTTTCGCATTCACTTTTTTTGGGTAAACGAAGACAACTCGTAAAAAACACGTAGTGTGAATACGTTACTGACTAGAACACATAGATTTGAACCCGTGTCGAGTGGGATAGCAATCGTGTGCCAAACCACTCGACCATATCGTCTCCCCCATACTGGCCACCAGTTGTTACGTTCCGGTTGTTTGTACACAAACACCGCGTGAACACTACTCAGTAAGCCAAAAGATATATATTTATAATGATGTTATATATTTTTATGATTTGATAATGGAGATTTACAAAATATACAAATATTCGAGAGCTGAACTACATAAGACAAAACATCATTCTACATAAATTTTTCTGATTTTGAATGTAGTATAGAACCTATATCTTGAAATAATTATGACACACTCTAATGATCTATCATGATGTCTCCACCTCTCTCCAGGTAGCGGTACACACATGGACCTGCAGTACAGCTGTATCGAACAGCTGAGAAGGCCTTGACCTCTGACTGCAGTCACGGGGGCGGAGCTTGACTCAGGTGACCTGCAGGTTAGGGACGCTATAGTCCAGTCACTTTACTCACCCCCTCTAAGGATGTACACGTTATATTTGGTGTTACAGCGCTTACCAAAATATAAGCAAACAATATTCTTTTAATACGGCACTTACACTCCACGGAGAGAGTTATTGTCAATACTTGAAATTTTGTAGAGAGAAGAAATGTATGGCATCATGTTGACGTATTTGAAAACTTTTTTTGTTAGCTAAACTGTTTTATGTACTGTTGTATGTACTGTTATATGTTAATTAATATCTTAGTATGGAAATTACATAGTAACCTATGTAATATTCCTCGTTCTTAATTTTTAGTGTGATCGAGCCTTATTTGTCAGTGGGTTTGAACTCGAGACTTTTTTTCGAATTTATAAACCATGAGCTTTTGCCGACTCGACCACGCCTCCATCACAATTAAGGATACGTGTCAACTGGTTATGCGCCATTGAGGCCATTGACTCCGATTTCAGCCTGCTTTTCTTTTTGGATTGGCTTCCATAGCCTTTGTCCTAACAAGAACAAACTACAAGGCAGCAGTTGTTTGATTTTGGAGTTGTCTCTCCTAGAAGAGTGGCTGTCCCCAGATAACGAGCCTCATCTGCTCTAGGGTTCTAACTCGAGACTTTCGGCTTAGCAAACATGACTTTACCGACTCGACCAAGCCGACCCCTAACCTATGTTATAATCTTAAGGATATTTTAACAATGTCTCTGAATGAATGTGTTAAAATGGATGTTAATAAGTTTGTAAACAGTATTTAATAAAAAAATTATATTGTGATTATGTTAGGTTAATGTTATTTGGTAAATACATGTTGACATATTTGTAACACATGTATCTGAATGAATGTGTTAAAGTGGATGTTTTAAACTGTATTTTACAGCCGGTCAACGGGGCTAGAGAAGATGAGCTGTTACAGAGGTGAAACAAGTTTGACCACACCGCCCTAACGACCAGCCGCTTACCAAATACCAAACAAATCTAGTATTGTTTTGTTGTGTCACGATAGCATTTACTTTTCTATGTTTATGTACTCTCTGTAAGCTTTAACCCTTAAAAGCATACCGCTACATAGTTGAAACATACCAGTTATTTTCCCATTAAATATTACCTTAAACATTTTTGGTTTTGAGCATTGCGTTGTTTGACTGCTACAATATTAATTAACCTACAGTTTGCGCATGCCTAAGTGACCTAGATTTGTTTTACCGCCGAGCCGATCTCAAATTCGTGCATGGTCACAATGTTTTCTATCTCAACATTTTTGGTTTGCGTTTCAAAGTTCATCTAAGTCATATAAACTTGTTTTTGAATTTTTTAAATATATTTTTTGACTACATAAGATAGGTATTACATATTGTGTGTCCTTTTGCACATCAATTCATAATTTATTTATAAATCTTCACAAAAGGTTGGTTGCGGTACTGCAAAGTTATGCATGTTGACCTATTTTTGCACTATATTTTCTTTATACATAAGCATTGGTGATTATATAGTACCTTGTTTTTCTTCTAGTTTCAGCAAAATGATTAGGAAATCAAAAGGAGATTCTTATTAAGCATGAACTGCACAACATAGCAGATAACCATAGTGAATCAGATGACCTGAGTGAAGAATTATATGATCCAGAATTAATTCCTGGATCTCCAGGACCAGTGTGGACCCTGGATATCCTGGACCAGTGTGGACACTAAGTCTCGTGGAATAGTGCAATGACAGGTGGAAATACACATCATGCTCAAAAGTTTTGCCACAAGTGCAATGTATAGCTTTGTTGTAATAAGATCATCACCTGTTTTTTTTTTAAATTATCACCTCACTGCATAACGTTGTAAACATGCAAAAATTAATACATTAATTAAAGTTCATTTAAAATTTAAAAAATGTTTTTTTTTCTACAGTGTATTCTGCATATATACAACAAAAGAATTGCTATTTTTTCAACGATTATAAAAAAGCATGCATTTAAGGGCTTATGTACTAAACAATAATTATAGTTCAAAGTCGTCTTTAACATTCCAACCAACAAATGACGTGATGCTCATCTAATACTTTGCTGCTTTATTTTCTACGATAAAACCTCTACAACCGAGCAGTAGTGCTGATTAAACTAACCCTTCATATGCCAATGTTACTGAAATAGGTGGACTCGACAATTTATTCGCAAATCAAGAAAATTTCACATGATTTTCTAATCTCGTCATAAAAAGGAAAAACATGGTCAGATTTTACATTCCATAACGTGATCTTAGTTAAGCCTCACAATCTCGAGCTCTGTACCAAACTTTGAATAACCTAAAGTCTCTCGGTTTTTAAATCCATAAAAATGTTATTCAAGAGGTTCTTCTGTATGATTTTAACTCAATAACTAATTTTGTATAAATTATAATTAATAATAACATCTCTGCGACATCTCATCGGGGCAATTATTTTCCTTCTACCTGATTAGCATTAAAATAACACGTATTTTCTGTTTGATAATTCAGAAGTTTCTATTATATGTTTAAAAGAACAACAAAAAGAAATTGAAGAAGACACATCGTAAGTTGTATAAACGAATTTATTATAAAATATTTAAACAAAACAATCCATTAAACCACACAAAGAAATGCATGATGTAAAAATGAGTACTATATAATAAACATATATGTCAATGCGTAGCAATGAACACCAAATTGATCACGGAAGGTAACAATTAAAATTATCCTCTTGATCAGTGAGAGTATGCTTATATACCTTGAAGCGATAATGAAATAATATTTTGATCGCAGTAATAAAATATTCAAAATGAAACTTTTTTTTCGTATATGTCATTTTCATAGAGATTTCCTTATTAAACTAACAGCACGATAAGAAATACATTAGATAAATCTCTGATTTACATAAATAATCAAACTATTCTACTTTATTCTTTAGACAGCATATTTACAATTAAATTTATAATACAAAACTTTACAAACACCAAATCGACAATTACTATCTCTACTTTATATAATTTTGCATGGATTATATATCTTTTGGAAAACTATGCCAAAAAATGTTATAGAAAAAAATTCAAAAAGTACACACATTATTAGGGGTGAACTACATACAATCCGAGTGAATGGTTAAAGTTATAATGGTAGATGACAACTATGAGTGTATTTATGCATATGCAAGAAATAAATGACAACATCGTAGCCGTTTTTGTTTCTTTTATGGCAAGCACAAACACCGTCAAGCAATGAATTATTTCAATTCGAGATGACCTCAAATGTGGTATTATTATATCATAGTAGCAAAACAAATTATGTTAGAGTTTTTAAAATCAGTTTTCAAATAAAATGTTATGATTAAATGTTATTTACGTTTAAACTTAAATCAAGAAAATATTGCATTAGTGAAATGTTTACATCTATTTAATTTAATATAAGTAAAGTTGTTTATGTTTCTGAAGATTATATAAGTAAGATTTGTGTATACCCATTAGTTTACACTCAGCATTGTTTTCGGGTTGTTTACATTTGACGAAGTTTCATTTCAACAAAGTCTAGAGAGTCTGAACTGCGTGTAATGCTGATCCAATTAATTCCTTTATAACCAACACGACTCGCCCATTCACCGTTCAAGTTAACATTGTGACAATTAGTATACCACCAACCACCTCTCTTGTCTACAGCACAGTTTGTACTTGACCGGAGATCGTTATCGGAGTCAATGGTTGTAAACTTCATGCCTTTGTGATAAATAAACACGTCACCAACATTCCCACCACTGAACGATTTGTAGCTCATTTTATACTTTGCTGCTTCATTTTCTACCTCAAAACCTCTGTACACGGCGTAGTAGTCTTTACCTTTATACTTCATATCAAATCTTAGTTCATTATAACCCTGTGTTAGACAAAAAATTAGAAATATTTAGATATTGCATTAGGTTTGAAATATTTTAAGTATTGATCTGCTAATACTATATGATAATTATAAATATTGATAAAAAAACGTAACGAAAACAATCTATAAATAATATAAAAAATTTCCAAAACACATTATTACAATAATACACACATTGCTTGAAAACATTCTTTGTAAAAAGAAAATACTGAGTAAACTTATATTGATAGTTCCTGTATCTATCCCATCATTAAAACAAAAGACGTCTGTTGAGAAAGGAAATATTACATTATCTATTTCCTGCTAACATTGCAACTTAAAAATATATTCCCTTAAAAGAAATACTATTTATATTCAATTTACTTATGGCTTTTCTAGAACTCCCTCCTTTTCATTAATCTCCTTACATTGCCTGACGTTGTAACACGCTAGCAGGTAATAAACCCATCTCCCTTACAATATAAATAACGTATGTGCTTTTCCTTCTTTTGATAAGCTCAATAGCACTAATTACAACGTATCTTATTTGTATCTCTATATGTATGTTGGGTAATGGGGTTAGTATAATAAAGGTGACGGCAGGCGGGAGGGTGTGGAAGTAGTATAATAGGTCCCTTTTGGAGCGAATGGGGGATGGTGAGGGTGAGGATGACGGTGAAGAAAGGATATATAGGAAAATACTCCCCGCCTGGGGGATGCGGCGGGACAATGACATATAGCAAAATACTCACCCACCTGGGTAAGTGGGTGAGCAGCCTGGGACAACGAGATATAGTAAAATACTCCCTGGGGGAGGGTGAGGTACACCGACATATAGTAAAATACTTTCCCGCCTGGGGGAGCAGGATGGTGAGGGTTAAACATGTTATATAGTAACTGGTGGTGGGGGATGGTGAGGGTGAGGAGCCGGAGGGACAATGACATATAGTAAAATACTCCCCCAGCTGGGGGATGCGGAGGGTGAGGGTGGGTCACCACCGGTGACCTTGTGACGTAATCAGTGACCTTGTGACGTAATCAGTGACCTAGTTACGTAATTTTAATGAGTTTGTTTGTTTTTATTTATTTTAAAATTTTAATTAGTTTTTTAACCAGTTACGTAATTTAATTACTTTGTTTGTATTTTGTTTTTTAAATTTTAATTAATTTAAGTTTGATTTAATTGATTTGATTTTAATATTTTAAATTTTAAATTTTAAATTTTTTATTAACGAGTTACATAATTTAATTATTTGTTTGTATTTTGTTTGTTTATTTTTAATTAGTTTAATTTTTTAAATTTTAATCTTTAATTAGTTTAATTATTATTAACTAGTTACGTGATTGGATTTTAATTTTTAAAAATTTTTAAATTTTTAAAAAATTTTTAAATTATTAATTTTTAATTTTAAATTTTAATTTGTTTATTTTTTGTTTATTTGTTTGAAATTCCTTTTATTTCTTTGTATGTTGTTGTTTAAAATAATCTAGTAACGCTAGCGTATACAAAAGGTAGAAGGTTCTTTGTGTCCTGACTTCCATTTAACCACCACAGCTACTCATTAGCGACACCTGTTACTTATCGATTCACCCGTTTCTCTCGAGTACACACATCCAATAGCGACTCCTGTTGCTCGCTAATGGGACCCGACACGTATTGAGCGAGCAACGAACCTTTGTTACTTAGAAGGAGCGTACACGGTCCAGAGTTAATATTGATCGCACCCACGGGGCCATCAAATGAGAGCCCGCCTAATTAAATTTGGTCACGCATCATGGATTAATGGCGAGTTCGCTGAAGCGATCACCGCAGGGGTCCCGCGTTTAATCGAATGCGCTAAGTGGTTAACCGCAAAGCTACCGTTAAGTGTGGCGACAGCTGTTACCACATTAATGAGTTTTTCCCCGGTCGCTTTGACAGCTGTGCAACAGCTGGTCCCGCACTTAGAGGCGCCTCCCGGCTTTTTTCATTACCTTGTTTGTTTTCTTGTTCTATCATGCTACACGTATACACATTCACACCGGTCGCTTTGACAGTTGTGCAACAGCTGGCGCCATACTTTCCACTAACAGTTATACGTACAGTCTCATAGGTTTTTCATCGAGTAAAGAAATAATATCGATCGAGACGCGTCGACCTCGTGTATCCATTAACCAACTGTGCAACAGCTGGTCCCGCACTTAGCCACAGCTCTCGGCTTTTTTTTTTTTTCTTCATTACCTTGTTGGTTTTCTTGTTCTATCATGCTATACGTATACACACACACACACTAAAATTAAAACAAACGTTTTCTTATATTTTATTTATTTATTATCGTTTTACCAAATCATCAAAGGCTTTTAAAATTTCATTTTGTAAACTTAACAAGTGTTCAAAACGCTTATAGTAACATGGGTGAGGGGTGTGAGCAGGCAGGTGAAGGGTGAACAGGTGGTTGAAGGGTGAGCACGTGGGTGAAGGGGGGAGCAGATAGGTGAAGGGGGAGCAGATAGATGAAGGGGGGCAGGAGTAGGAGTAAAGGATATATAGTAAAAGATTCCACCACCTAAGCGAGGTGGGTGGATTTTAATTTTAATTTTAATTTTTTATTTTATTTTTTCATCATCTGTTAACTTTAACCCTTTATCTGCTGACGGTACTTATAAGTACCACTTTAATTAAGTGCCTGTATTATTTTTCATTTAATACGAATTTTTAAAATTATTGAAGTAATTAATAGTATTATCTCCCCTGAGTCGCCGGTAGTCGGAGGGATCAATGTTTTTAAAAAAATTACTGGTGTGGTACCATTTTCAATGTCTAGCTGTATCGGTAGTTCACAATTTTTCTGTACAGTTCTCACACACGTTCTTGATTTGCCTTTGTTTTACCTTATTTTTCAAGTTTTCAACCCCATTTTTTTATTGGTATCTCCAATAGTCAGGCAAACGCATTTAACTTCTAGTTATACAATTTTAATCAAATTGTCTTTGTATTAGACTGATGTTTACAAGTGGACTTATAAGTACCGTCAGGGCACACGGTCATTTTTTTAGGATTTTTAGAAAATGGCAGATTTTTTATGTGGAGTTACATAAATATTGTCTTGATGATTAATTATCGAAATGTACTCAAAAAATGATATTTACACATTTATAAGAAGGTTAGCATATGGTTTTCCTAAGAGATATTGTAATTACATGTTAATTTCTAGTAGTAAAAAAATAACAAGAATAAAGGTATCAGTTGAAGGCTCGTTTACAAGGTTTAGTATACTTCATTTGTATACCAAAGCCTAGTTCTAGTTGTAAGATTTAATTTGTTAGTTATATTTACTTCAATAAACTGTCTTGCCTACAACAACTAGCATTTACGTAATGTATATGTGTAGACTAGTAATAGTCCAAACTTCTGCATATAGTATAGACCTATAAGATAAATTTTAATCAGTAAACAAAAAAGAGTAGGCCACTACGGCTATCCTAAACATATTGAGCTTACTTCTATTTATGAACGTTGCACTGTAGTGTAGACTTGTCATAACATTCTAGTAGGCTACAATTATACTGGTATTACTAGTAGTTGTGTGCTGAATGACTAGGCTTTTGTTTACGTGGCTCATAGTACTAGCTTTTGGAAGCTTCCAGCAAAAGCATGTTCGTTCCGGCAACCATTGCTACACCAAAAAACCACAGACAAGATTGAGGGAGCTTGACATGTCGACTACTTTTGCTGTGTTTGAGGTCTAAGATGTGTTCCGATAGAAAATCGAGTAAAAATCGTACTCAAAATATACTTTTGTGCTGTATTTATATGTGAAAATTACAAAAAGAGATTGTTATAATGATTGCCATTTTATTAGTTAATAAATTGTATCGTTTGTTCCTGTTTTGTAAAAAAATTTTTTTGAAAAAAAAAAATGTCCTACATTCCTGACGGTACTTATAAGTACCAACATAGGTTTCGGCAATTAAAAATTTATGAAACAAAATTTCCTTTGAGATATGCTTTGAATGTGCGAAAAGCAATACAGTAACACATTGTTTAAGTAAAAATTTCATTCAGAACATAATTCCGTAAATAAAGGGTTAAGGTTCTATAACTCTATATAACTAAATACATTTTTTTTATTCAAACGCGTTTACTCCTCCTAACGTAAGTACATGTAAAGAGGGATTTCCTATAGATCTGTAATGAATTAGGCCTTTTTTGACTATGACGTGTTGCCCAGGTGTTGACATGATACGCTTTTTTTGAGATACACGTAAACACACACACACACACACGTACACACACATACACACACATACACAAACACACACACACACATACGCGCGCGCGAAAAATTCACACTAGGTCGGTAAAGGCGGAGAGAACTTACAGGTATACATTACATCAACAAAAGCGACCCTTATTTTATTTACATGAAAGCGTGTTTTCCAAAAAGTGTCACCATGCCGTTGTCATTTTCGCAGCTGGGTTTATTTTAAGTGCACCCCGTGCACGCTTGTTTACATTTTAAAAGACGTGTCGCTTGTCTTCCCTAATAGAGAAACGAGAGGAAAGACAACTGTTCTAAAATTAGAACAGCCTTGTTTACATCCACGAGTATCGTCCCTTGTAAAAACATTTGCGTCAGAATCCTTAACTAAACATTCAATTTCTTTAACAAGTTAAAAAATAATTTAGGAAGACAAGGGTTAACAACATTAGACGCCACCGTTTTTTGTTTTCTGTGACGACAAGACACAATACACTTTTGTATTTTATGTCTCAAGTAGAGGGGTGGGATTTTTTTTCTTTGTAAGCGTATTGTAAACAATGGGTAGAGAAGGCGATTACTAAGTAAGAGGGGAGAGAACATGACTTGCATCGCGATATTTGAAAACATGGCGATGTTTAACCTCAACCAAAAAAGGCAATGAACCTAGAAGAAAGACGAATATATATCTTAGACTTGCAGCAGATTACCTTCCCATGTTCGCTTTAGTATTACAGTTTTCATCAAACTTCTTTTTGACTTGAACTTCTTTAATTTTAG